GAGCCCCCATGTTCGCCAGATTCATTTCCCTGAGTTGATCTTTTTTCTTTTATTTCTTCTAAGGCAGTTTGACTCTCTTTAACTGCTCGAGTGTATTTTTGATCGTCTAGGCAGGCTCGAATGATTCTCCAGAGAGAATAAGTCCCCTGGCCAATTACATCGAGGCGTAAGCCCCGTTCTAGATCTTTGCCTAATTTATCCCAGCAACTGGTGTTGAGATTTCCAGAGACTGCAAACCAAGGGGCTGCAAGATCTATGTCCTTGAGGAAACCTATTAGAGTTTTTTGTCTTAATTTTAATCCCCAAAGTCTGAGTAACTGTTGAAGAGCCTGACAGAGGGGGTGGGAGGAGGAGGCACCCATAGTCTCTGAGCCAGCAGATTCTATGGAGAGGGAAAGGATAGTTATAAAACCCCTGCTTCTCTCACCGAAGCTTTGCTTTGCTTCTCTCACCGAAGCTTTGCTTTGCTTCTCTCACCGAAGCTTTGCTTTGCTTCTCTCACCGAAGCTTTGCTTTGCTTCTCTCACCGGTATCTTTCAGTTGCAATTGCCGAGGAGTTCTGGCCGCTCTTGGGTCCTATGTTGTAAGGAGCTCGAACGGGGCAACGAGAGAGACGAGGAGAAGAAGTTCCCCGTACGGGCCACCAGTTGTCGCCCGTGACGCTGCCGCAAACTAAGAAGGACACACAAAAGGCGGTCTTCTCCAACGGTCTGTTTATTTCCCCAGAGTAGTCAGCAGCCGGCCGCAAGCCCCGAGACGGGCCAGAATTAAAAGGAGTAAAATGGCCAATCAGTGTTGTGTACACGTGTACGGGAGTGAATGTAACCTATCATATGGGCTGTGTGTGAGAGTCCCGTGCTGATCATGCGACTTGTTATTGGCTAGAACCCAAATGCACGCGTTTAGGTTAGGAACTTCTTGGAACCTGTTTACTCTTCACGCGAGTAAGAGAGTTCCGCTCGGCGCCATCTTAGGGCGCGGTCTGCGGTAGGGCTGTCGCCCTCCACAATTATTCTTTTTAAAAAATCTCTTTGAAAACTCTCAGCAGAGATATCTCTCTGTGTGTGTATCTCTCTGGTCAAATTAAAAAATGAATGAATGAATAAATAAAATTAAATAATTCTAAAAAATAGTTAGATTCTAATGTCTGCTTCTGCATTTACTCTGTTAAATTTATTGATTTGCAGAAATGAACTATTTTTAAAAAATTATTTATTTACATTCGTTCACTGTACATCATTACAGCATACAAAATTTTCCATTCAGAATACACTGTATAGGGACCAGCAGTGAACGTAATGGCTATGTCACTGGACTCCCATGTAGTCGACTGTGGTTCACGTCCTGGACCCCATGGCTTAAAACTTACGCCGGGCACGTGTGCGTGCATGCCCAAGATCCCGAGAGGAGAATGGAAGAGAAGGGATTGTGGCGTGGCCATCCCCCCTGGGGGGTGGTTTCTTGCTTTCTGTCTCTCTGTCTTATATATCGGACTGATATGTACATATGAACACATGTCTGACTTTAGGCATAAACCTCAATGAGTAGAATGAACATACTATAAAGTAGCACCTAGCTGGGGTTATATAGCTTACTGCAGTATTTTTAAATGCACTTTTTAATTTTAAGAAAAACTGTTTTAGTTTTAATAGATCAAAATAAAAAAAAATGTTAAGAGAAATTTGTGTAAGATTTAAAGCCAGGAAAATGGTTAGGATTCAGTTCAAATAGTAGGTAGATGAACTTATCAACAGTTCAAGAGAAGGCAAAAATCCTAAATCTAGAAAACAAAGCATAGAAGAAAATCAGTAATGTTTTAGTCAAAGTCATAAAATTCTGTTTCACCTGTTGAGTCTCATATAATTAATCTCTCTTCTGTTGAATTTGCAGTGTTACTGGGTCCGATCTTTTCGTTTAAATTCTGGAAGTTAACATGCAA